ATTAAATAACTGGTATAGATATGTCAAAAGAAGAATTGAAAAAAAAAATATAATACATATCTACCTCGGTTAAAACTAGAACCGATGTAGATATTATCTCAAAAAAATATTTATGAAAATGCCACCCTTTCTAATTTCTACACTGTAGGTGCTATAACTGGTGTAGATATGGGGTTTAAATATCCTATTTTATACTAGTGAATGATCTAAAAAGTAGGCTGTTTTGAATGTATTTAGATAAAAACTATAAGTTCTCCCCTACTAATCACCAATTAATTTCAAAATTTAAAGAATTCAAGGGATTATCCTAAAGTACAATTACCAAGTTTGTAAAAATTATAATTTAGGATCCCCCTTTTTTGTAAATTTAAAACTCTCCAAAACATCTCTGCAAGTCAAAAATCAAAGTTTAACTAGTACACATAAGCACGAGATCTAAAAAAGAATCAAACATTTGCATAAAGTTGTTAAGAATAGTAATTCAGTGTAGCATAAAGGCATGTGCTGTAGCTTGTATGCCTCTATACCATACGTCGTGGCCCATTACACGATATTTGACAACATCTGTTGCTATCAAATAATAGCAACTAGGGTAAATTTCCAATATGTCTCATTTTTTCATCCGACATTCCATTGAGGTGATCTAGGTGTCTATAGAGAGCTTTCTACTAGCTCTATTTATTGGCTTTGGTTTCACAATCAAGTTATTTCTTAGTCAAGATTTGGCCACCTATTCATAATTTACCCCTTTTTTACAATTTACACGTAAGTTGGGTGTCCAAAAATTATACCAATAGCTAAAAGCCTCAATTACATACTAGATCACACTCAATAAACTATTTTGGACTTGTGCAATATACCACATTACTAATAACATATACATAATGCTTTTTCAATGCTTAACTTCTCAATCATAAGAATAAGAGGGGGAGCCTTAAGATTCATAAATCATCATATCATTCCACAAAAGTTACGATCTCACTAACTTCCTACTTGCACTAATATTTTGGCCTTGTAGTAGATTACACAATTAGTACATATACACTCTAGAGCCCAAAATGTACAATATAGTTTATCAACTTTCTAGTGCAAGTAGGCCCAAAAACATGGACAACCCTAGTTGGCAATATCATTTGAATTATACACATAACAATAATAAAAACGTAAGAGGATAACAAGTTTTAGGATAGAATCCTAAGCCTCGATCTGTTTCCCTCTACCTTATCTCATTGAGCTAGTTCCTGTAATATTAAAGATAATGAGGTGAGTGCAACTACTCAGTAACGAAAGTCCATCTAACTTATACTAATGCATGTTAATCAATTTAAATACAAGGAAAAAAGACGACGTTCTCAAGTCATTTAACATGATCAAAACTACTATTCATATTTTTATTTATAGTGGCATATACTCATGAAATAATGACTTAGTAACAAAATTTCATATGGATATAGAACTAATCATATGATTTTCATCACTAAGGTCACAATATAAACAACCATATGCCCTTTTATCACTATATGTATGATCATACTTCCTTTATATTCTTCTTATACCTCTGGCATGAAACCATGAGCTATAACACATGGAGATTGTTTATGAAATTGAGACTACCCTAGCCATTCATACATGAGAAGATACCCAACCAAGGTTGCCTATTTTATTTTTGGTTCACAGTTTTTCCCAACTCTCACACTTTAGGGTGTCATTTTTCCTACACTAGCTTTCTCGTTGAACAAGTAAAAAACTAGCTATGTTCAAGTCCCTTACTGAATTTATGAGACAATCTCTTATTAAACAAGTGGGACAATATGAATAATAAATCTAAGCTAACCATCGACTCTAATGGTAGCCTTACCACGTAGATTTTAATTTTTTACTCCTCTTCCTAAGTGAACTCCCATTTCTCATGATCATGCAGTGTATAAATGTAATATCACATCGCATGCAAAATTACATAATGGACAAGTATGCTTAATATCATCATCGTACTCATGTTACATATGTTCATCACATAAACACATTTCACAAGTAATTGAACTCTATTTCACTTTGCATCATTGAACTCCTCTTATACACATTTCATTGAACTTCACAAACAATACCTTATTGAATTTCACTTCATAAACATTCATGGAACTCCTAATTTCTCACATTTATCAAACTTCACATTTTACACACGTAATCATTGAACTCCATTACACATTATCATCTTTGATTTTCAAAATGTTTTATGCCACATTTGCATTTCAAATAATTTCACATACTCCAAATATAACATTTTACACAACAAATCAATTAACACACAAAAGTGCACTGGAGAATTCCCTTTGTTACCTCAAACCTTTGAAAGGTCAAAGATTTATCCCATAAAGCTTCACAAAGCTTGAATGGTGTCCAATGTGTATTTATTTTACACTGATTACAACAATATCATTAATAACTTCCTTAAGACAATTTTGACATACCTAATTCACACTTTAATTCTCTCAAAATTCAATTCCCTTAACTACAAGGGTACATATAGGCATTTTTAGCTTCCTTTAACTTCTATGAACTTCATTGAACTCTCGTATAACTATTAATAGAGCCACATTGTCACAATCACCTCATTTATGGTGGGATTTTTTGATATTTATGATTTCCAACAATAAAAAACGCATAAAGTCATAAATGCTAGGTTTTAATAACTTAAACAACTCTCATTAACTCTATTTAAGTCAATGGATTTGGACACATAGCCTTTATGGACCTAAAATCATCATTCTAATTGAAACCCAAACCTCCAAACTAGAGAAAATGGAAGGAAAAATGAAGAAATGAGCTTATAAACCTTACCTTAGGTGTTATCTAGATCCAAGATACTTCCAAGCCTCCAAAGAAGCAAGCCCTAGTAGGGAAATCTCACCCCTTCGATTTTTCCTTTTTCCTTCCCTCTCATTTTTCGAACAGATTGTGATTGTCTTAAGTAAATTTTTAGCCATAAGTCATGGTGCACATTATGATGCACAGCATAGAGATGTCTGTCCCTTGGCAAATTGGCACACATGTGCCGTGGCGAATGAGTCACGTGCCATGATGCATGGCATAGAGTTACTTCCTTCATATTTTCTCCCTTTCACATTCAAGCAACCCGACTTTACTTCTAACCCATATTTAGGATTAAAATCACAATTAAATGCACTAATTAGATCTTTCTAGTCACACACTACATCAATAAACTTAATTGCCCTAATTAAGCTTAGTTAATCAAATTCAAATTTCTAGGATGTTACAAAAATTAAAGGGGCAATTCACAATACCAATATTGATCAACCCTTTAATTTTAATTTTAAATTAAAAATGAAAATAGTTAAAAAAGGACAGACAATATTTTTAAAAAGTTTTGGATATTTGGGCTCGCCTGAAGTTTGACGACGTTAGGATCGAGCTTGGTTATATGAGGTTTTTCTATAAGGTAGAATACTTTTTTGTCCGGCTTCCATTAAGCTTGTCCTAAATGAATTATAGCTCTAAATTTGACAAACTAACTAATAATAAATCATCTTCAAAGCTTTTGATAGAAGTTTTGATGTTTTTTTAACCTTTTTCACAATAATTAATACAAAATATAAGTTCTTAATTATCATGAATTATTAATATATAAAATTTAAAATCTTATAAATGTAAAAAATATCTTTGAGAGAACTATTCCTAATTTAACTCAACAATACTCAAATTTAACTATAAGAATATGGAGCCTCAGGCATAACTAGGTGAATCCACAAAAACATTAGCAGAGGTGGTAGAAAAATAATTTATCAAAAATTTCATTTAATTATTTGTTTATTTATTTGTCATCATTTATTATTATTATTATTAATTATCATTAATTAATGAACAAAGGAAATTATATTATTTTGTATTTTTAATTAAATTTTTATTTAATATATTTTATTGAAAGAAATCCATGATCTTACATGATCCTACCTATATAAAAAAAATAGAGGGTTAAAATATAAGTTGTGTATAATATATTTCGGATAGCTATACCATAAAATATAAAATATATAACAAATTATAGTATTAAAAAATTATAAATAGGGTGACTGATTTTTGCGTACGGGAGAGTGACTTATTTTTTTAATTAAAAATTGTATAATTTTTATTTCTCAAGCATAGTTATGATCGTTTGATTGAAAATTTTTGGGTTAATGGGCAAATAAAAACCTAAATTTTTAGTCAAAAATTTTCTTGAACCTTGAATTCTTAAAATATGTAGGATAAATTTTAAACTTTTAAATTCATAACAAAATAAATCCTAAACAGTACCTGCGTGGACAGTAATAATGTTAAAAATTAATGGTCAGAATTTATTTTATTATGAATTTAAAAGTTTATATTATATTTTACATATTTTAAAAATTTAAAGTCTATGATGATTTTAAAGTAATAGTTTAAGATCTTGTTTGTTTGTTAACTCAATTATTTTCCATAAACCAAAGTGATAATACGGAAAATATTAGCATTCTAATATTTTTTTAATATTTTTCTGACAGTAATCTAATGTCATTTCAGAATAGTTTAACTATTTATAAAATATTCCATGGAGGGGAAGTAATCTTGTGATTGGATTTTTTTGGGAAAAAAAATCTTGTAATTAGATTTTGAGGATTAATTAAATTATTATATTATATAAATTTTTTGTTTATAGGATTGAATAAATTCCTTTTTTTTTTTGCCAAATAATTCAAATGTTGTGAAGATTTTTTTTTTTAAAAAATAAACAACATTATGAAGATTTTGTTTCCTGTCTTCTCGAGGCTCGCTTCAAAGCTTCATCACCCCACGCGCGCGGCGGAGGCCATCCGCACGCCATAAAATATCAAAGCAGCCAAACTGAGAAGTACAATCTGTGCTTTCTGCACTTTCAGATACTAATTATTATCAATTGTTTTATTATCATCCAGGCAATTCAATTTCGAAGTTGCCTTTTTTTTTTGAAGGTAATTTATTACTTGTTAGTGTTTGTTAATTACTACTTGGTGAGTTCTATTTTCACTTCGAACTTTTCTCTGCGGTTTCTTTGATTTCTCGCTGCTTTACTGGTGCTCATTTTTACGGCGTTTTGCGTCTTTTCCTCTGTTTTTTTCCATCAACATCTGCTGGATTCATGAAAGCATTGTGATGCATGCTACACAATTCTTTGTTTGAAACAATTAATTAAAGGACGATAGATGTGGAAATTGTGAAATTTAGGATTTGTTGGGTGTCGGCGGTTTCCTTCAACGATTTAGAATCGAACTTACTTCATTTGTATGACTAGTCGTTAAGCTGATTGTTACTCTAGGTATAGAACATTCACGATTAGTCGATGCTAATGAAATTTAATACGGGTTCCTTGTTCATGATAGATTTTCTTTTTCTTTTTTTTTTTTGTTTTGCTTTTCCATAATTTTGGCTATTGTTAACTTTGCAACATCTCAAAAGAAGTGTATGAGCTAACTCGGATTGATAATACCGAGTCTTAGTTACTTCTTCCTCCGCTGTTGATCCCCCCTCCTTTTCTTGAACTTTTTGAGAAATTAATTGGCTAGGTAAATAATGAAATGTTTCCTTAGATTCACCAGCTCGTAAAAGTACATGACCCCGCTTTCTTTCCAGCAGTTAGTTAAAGAGATTATGTTTTTTGTTTTTGGTTTCTTATACTTAGTGGTTATTTTAACCTAATTCCTTAAACTAACTACCATATTGTTTCAATCCTGTATTTCGATCTTAGGTGTCAAATTGATAAGTGCACAAGACATGGGTCACATAACTGGTAGATTTGGGTAAAAATTAATGTGTTACTGATTTTGTACTGACTAAAATGGGCACTACCCTAGCCAAACACACATCAGATAAGCTGTGAAAGGAGTTGTAAAAGGAAAATCCAATGGAAGAAATACAAGGCCAGGTTTATCAATCCCATCAACCTGAATTTGCCTCATCTCATGACGGTAGTGCAAGGTCTAACTTCATTGTGCATGCGAATCATGGGTCTAATTTAACAGGACTGAAGAAAAGAGGTCATGGGAGTCGCTCTTGGATAAAAATTTATCAGGATGGAAATTCAAAGACTGTGACACTTGACAAGGCTACTGTTATGAGATGCTGCTCTTTGCCTTCCAGAGATCTCCGACTATTGGATCCTATGTTCATTTATCCTTCTACCATATTAGGAAGGGAGAAGGCGATTGTGGTCAACCTTGAACAAATCTGGTGTATCATAACTGCTGATGAGGTTTTTCTAATGAACTCCTTAGATGGAAGTGTTGGTCAGTACAAGTTTGAATTATGCAATCGACTTCAGAATGAAAAATCTGGTAAGGGTTTGGCTCTTTCTGCTGCAACATATTGACATTTGGGTGCAGCAGACTAGTCGGGAAAAATTATGAACAGGGTTATCACATTATCACATGGTCATATCTGTTATAGCACTATCAGCAATAGAAGTAAAATGATGCTGGAACGTTTGATTTCTTGCTTAAAGGCAAATGTTTCCTACAATCCATTCTATGATAGGGTATTTGATGGAGGTAGCAACTAGCAAGTGCATGAAATTTCTTACCATGTTGCCTTTTTCATACAGATGATCTTCCATTTGAGCTCAGGGCACTGGAGCTGGCTCTGGAGTTGACTTGCTCTTCTCTGGATGCTCAGGTGAATTGACCTGTACCTCTAGATAACCCAGAAAAACTATTATTGAATGTTCTTTATTGTCTTTATTCTTTTGTTCCTTTCACTTTATTCAAGATCTTTGCTTTGTGTTCTGTCCTTGTCTGTTATGAAGTCCTTAACACTGTACAGGCAAGAAGTGGCAGTCACAAATGGATTCATGTAATGTTCCCCTGGTTGCTATTGCTAATCTTGTAAACTACTGTCACTGCTAGCATGTAAATGTTATAATTTACCAGCTTGATTGAAGTGACAAAATTTCATCTACAACTTACATTAAGAAGGTTCTGGATTTCATAGGTGAAGGAACTAGAAATGGAAATATATCCAGTACTAGATGAGCTAGCCTCATCCATCAGTACTCTTAATCTAGAACGCGTTCGAAGATTTAAAGGACACCTCCTTACATTGACTCAACGAGTTCAAAAGGTTGATGAGGACAAATTTCTTACCCTTGAATTTGATTTGCTTTCTGTTGCCTGCAACTTGTAATCCGTGTTCAATTCCCAGGTTCGTGATGAAATAGAACATTTAATGGATGATGATGGGGACATGGCTGAGATGTGCCTGACTGAGAAGAAGAGACAATCGGATACTTACCATTTAAGTGACCTCTTCCTTCAGATGAATATATCAGGATCTGGAACAGTGATTTCAAAATCAGCTCCAGCTTCACCGGAGCGAACTTTGAGTGGCGCTGATATGTTGCAAAGGGCTTTCAGCAGCATTGGAAATTCAAGTAAATACGGCAGCCTTGCTGGTTCATCTAATGACGGAGAAAAGATTGAACCACTTGAAATGTTGCTTGAAGCATACTTTGTGGTCATTGATAACACACTTAATAATTTATTGTCGGTAAGATATGAGTTTCTTGTCGTTCTTAAGTTTATCCATCTTGTAAAATTGCAGTATCTCTATTCTGGATTTCATAATTTTTGTAATAAATACTCATAAGGCTTGTCTTTGGCCAATCAACTGTTGTGTAATAAAGTACTTGTGTGCCTGACTATCTTGGTTCCTGTGGTTTCTGATTTCTGCGAATGAGTATTATGTTTTGTTTTGTTTTTTTTTTTTTTTTGCTTATGTCAAGGCCGATGCAAAAATAAAATTGTCCAAGATATACATATTTTATTATTTAGGTAGCGTGCTGTGTAGATGCTGAGAATATTTTTTTTCTTTTGTTGGTGATGCAGCTCAAAGAATATATTGATGACACCGAAGATTTCATCAATATAAAATTGGTAAGCCATGATTGACAACTTTAGCATTCTGCTGTGCATTCCTTTGGTCTCTTTCACAATACATGCACATCTTCGAAAGAGGGTTCACACTTCGTGTATATGACAGGGCAATATTCAGAACCAACTAATACAATTCGAGTTGCTTCTAACAGCAGCTACATTGTTAGCTACAGTATTTGCCTCTGTGACGGCAGTTTTTGGAATGAATTTTGAGGCTACAGTATTTGACCATCCATATGGATTTCACTGGGTTTTGGTAGTTACTGGAATTGGATGTGCATTACTATACTTCTCCTTCCTATTCTATTTTAGGAACAAGAACGTACTTCCAGCTTAATCTGCGACCTGCTCTAAATAGTAAATAGTATACTGGATTGTATATTCTAGCAAACCCAAGTTTGCCTTGGAACTCAGTGATGATGATTAGGACAGGTTAGCCCTGATACATCCATCTGCTATTGATACAAGAAAATCTATCCACTGCTATAACAAGTTGGAACGTGTCATATATGAACTGATCCAGCCATTTCATCATTCAAGATGCTAGAGTTGTACTTGGGCAACTATCCTTTGTGCAGGCCAAGATGTCTCTGTAATCCCTTGATATGCTGAAGGAGTCATAGACTTTCCCATCCCTGCTCTTTTTGTACTCAAACAAGAGATTTGAACTGTCAAATGCAGTAAGTTTTACAAACCCATAATCATAGTCTTTAAAGATACTCCATTTGGTCTTGAGAGTAGTGAATGTTGAGAGGCTTGCTCCTCCACCACCAGCAACCACATGGATGGTCCCATGTAAGGGTCCCTTGTAGTGTTGTCTCTCTTCACTGGTGCAGATACTCTGTTGCAACATATGATGGGAAGTTATTTGCTAGTAAGAGAATGTGTCTGTGACATGTAAAATGTAACTCGACATTCCAAAATGTGCAGAAGTCTTACTACATATCTACTAAACATGCTTACATGTCTCGCCAGAATTAATTTGGTTCAGTAATCTTTTTCTAAATAAATTTATTCATGAATATATGTGTAGTGCAAAACAGCAGACGGATGAGCTAACCTGGTATATGGGGCAATTCCTCTCATAGTTGTGGACGTGGCCATAGATGGCAATGTCCACCTTGTGCTTTTGCCACAGCTTTTGAAGGCTGTCTCTCCCCATTGGCTCTCCAAATGATCCTTCTAGTGCATAACAGATACAAGAAGAATAACCAAGCACCCTATGTGCTAGGAACACAAGCCATGGCTGTTTCTGTCTGTCCACTGATGCAAAACAATGTTCTATGAACTCATACTGCTCTGTGCCCTCTCTCCAATCATGCTCTGTGTCGGCAATACAGAACCGGAACATCCCATAGTCAACTGAATACCTGCCAAAAAAAAAAAAGAGAGAGAGAGATCAATGTAAAGGCTTAAACTGATAAGGGGGAACTGGCAAGTAAAAGAAGCACAGACTCATCATACATTGGTTTAGTCTAACATCATGCCAATGATGAACAGAACTTGAAAAGATTTAGTTCTTATGGCACATGAATCATTTTCTTATAAGAATTCACTGGGCGTTTAAAGAAACATTGGTTCAACAATCAGCCTAAAACTTGATTCTTCTTGACAATTTTATGAAAAAAAATAAGTTATAAATATTAATTCAAACAATGATAAATTCAAAAATTTCAATTGCAAATAAGATATTTAAACTTTAAATACAACAATCAGCTTGTACTTGAGATTCATGTTTGCAATTGTTGGCATTAATATTTACAACTTATTTTTCAAAAAAATTTTTTGTTAGAAACCTAATTGTCATTACTTCTTTCCTTCAGGATTTATGCCATTCTCTCTAAATAATAAATACCCTTTTTATCTGATTATTCTCCCAATTCAATGGAAACTAAATGCCTTAAATCAATTTTGTTTATCTCATCCTGGGTGTCCGTGTGCGTGTGAGCATATACTGTCACCCTGTTGTCCATGGCAAATCTACCTGAAAATAAGCTTGACTCGTCTTCCAAATTGATATCAGTATTACTTCAAAACAAATGCATATTTAAGGAGTTGATGTTCTATAGATTTGTAAAACAGTCCACGTTTTCTTACAAAAGAACCTAACAGCAAACACTTCAAGAAATGCATTCCAAAATCTTGTCATGAATACAATTTGCCTAGTTAAAAGTACATGTTACGGGTTGATTCTACGATAAAAACGATACCATGATTTATTAAACAAACTATAATCATAATACATTGACAATGGCATTATAATAGTTTGACCTACTTGAACTTAAATGGAAATACCAACTGACATACCAGAACTTGGCCCTGTTAGAAGCTGGAACATAGAACATAGTCTCTGCCAATACGCCACATTCTCCACCAGAATCCATGTTCTGATAAAAGGACCCTGTCCCTGGCCAGTCTCTCTCATGATTTCCACTGTAAGGAAATAAAACCAATGAAATGACTCCAACAAGAAACCTTCAATGGGGATATGTTGTGACAAACCTTGCAATCATGTAAGGTACTGCTGATGCAACTGGCTCCACCTGTGCTGTGAATTGATCCCACTGAGAAAGGTACCCATTTGCATAACATATATCTCCAATATGGAAAACTATGTCAATGTTCTTTAAATCTTGGATGAGCTGCCTGGTTGTGTTAAGTGAGCCAGGCTGGAAATTGTTGTATTCATTGGAACCATCTGCTTCCTCCTGCAGGGTAAAGGAAATGCACAATTAAACAACTAAGGATCACAAAATTGATGAATGCAGAGTTACAGACAATATGAATTCATTACATTTTTTCTGGTAAGCAATTATACTTCTAATATGCAATTATGTAAAACTTGGAACTGGCACTACTGTATAGCAGAAACATTCTAAACAGCTGAACAAGATAACAGATACCACATGCTTTAACACTTCATAAGAGCTGTGCAAGGGACAAATATGGGCTCTTAAGAGAAGAAACTGCTTGAGAAAATATCCAGGAACAGAGAGCAACACGTGGAGGCTGTCTTGAGACAGATTTAGAAAAAGTTTATTAGAAAAAGAGGAATAAGAATGGGGGTGATGGCAGAGAGTGCTATTGGAAGAAAATTGGAGAATTTTTGTGGGAGGGTTCATCCCCTCAAATAGTTGGTAAGTTTTTCCTGCTTTTTTTGTGTTTTTCTACAGAATATGAGTTGGAAAGCCAGGTTTCCATTTTTCATCAGAGATCGTAATGTATACATTAAAATTACTGGGGGCTTAAGATTATTGCAAAGGATATAGCTTGCAGGAAAAAAAATTTACACAGCAGTTCATACCTTCCCCATATCACCAAATATGACTACACGTTGCAAAGACTTTTGTCCAGGAAAAGGAGGTGCCTTAAACTCATACTTCTGACTCCATACATATGTACCGTTGTTTAACCTGTGCCCTACCTTGTACTCATATCTGCAAAATCCATATTATGTTTGAGTCCTGAGGGTGAAGTTCTTTTAAGTGAAAAGGTAACATGTGATAAAGAAAATAAGACAAACTCTGGTCTATGATGTTTCCTATGTCTGTCTCTGTATTAGGATGCCTGTATCCTGAATGAGGAATAGAAATTTAGAAACTAAATGCAAACTAAGCCATAACAAGTTAGGATTAATATACATTTTGTTGGGCCACAGTTCCCTCAGAAAACTAGTGTGTATATATCCAGGGTCACGCCATCCCACTGTTCTAGCTGGTGCACCTGACCATACATTGACAATGCAACCGTGTGGTAAGCAGCATATTTTGACCAATTTTCTACCAACCCAACCATGCTGAACAAAAAGGAGGAATAAAGGGAAAAGTAAAATAATAATAATAATAATCTAAACTCAAGATCAAAATAAAAACTCCCTCCAGTCCAAATTATAAGATGTTTTAGGCATTTCCACATAGATTTAAGTTGTTACATGGATTTGTTTGCTCAAAAAAATCCAAGTATTCCAATTATACAACTCCTCATCTTCGTTCTTTGTGAAAGAGATCATAAAACCTTGGCTCAAGTCATGAGACCAATATTAAAATTCTAGGGGTAAAAGAGGAAAATCATTTGATATTTTAACACACCACCTCATAAATTAGACCAACTTTATCTTCTAGACCTTATATCCAGGACCGGAGGAAATGTTCTAAATTTCTAATGATCAAGGATTGGAATATAGTGGACCATGAGCCCAAAAGACTTTATTCAAATCCCTAATTAAATAGCCCAGTTACCCTATTACAAACCTTGATTCCCAATTAAACATACATTGTCACATTATGAAATAAATAGATATATCTTTTCATAATGTCTTACCTAGGCTTTTTTTGGAACTGATGATCTTAATAATAGGGTATGCAGTCTGTTGAAGGATATTAGATGAACTTTCACATGAAGGGTTCAGCAAAGGAGATTTATCATAACAAACCAAAAGATTAATACATTAAAGAAATAAAGCACAGAATGAATATGTCTCGTTTCCTTCCCCAGACGTGCACCTTAGGCTTAAGCTTTTGGTTCACAGTTCCCTCAGGATTGATCCTTCTTTAAATTGAAGTTCAGAACAATGTAAGAGGAAGAGGCCTGGGCTTTGCACAAGCTTCAATCCCTAAGGGATTTAGATGAGGGCAATTGTTTCGAGATGAAAAGTTTTTCTTGAGCCTGTGCTAACAATTTAAGCTTTTGGTAAATTGCTTCTTGACAAGGTCAATTTGGAGATACAAAGATATATAAACTAGTCAAAAAACCTACCATGGGATAGCATAAGAAGTAACTTCAGAAAGCATTTAATGAGTCCATAATATACAAGATACAAGGGCAAAATTGAATATTATAATTATACTCTGTAGGATTCCCTTGCTTGTGTTCAAAATTAAGATTGATTCCCCATTAGCTACGCATTAAATTAAATACATGTCCTTTTTCCACATATGAGAATTATAAACACAAAAAATTAGGTTTCTTTCAATCTGGGCAACTCATTTTAAACACTTCTTAAGTTATCTTCAATTTGAGCACTCTTTTTTAGGCAAGGCATCGTTGCACATAGCCTGAAGCACTTGCAAACTGTAATGACACTAGAAAATTCCAAAATAAAATTTATATTCTTTGGTAATATTTAGGGAAATATAAAATGAAGATTTTCAAAATGCATAAAGTTGCTAAAATTTTCTTCACCAGAAAACAAAGCTGCAAAACCCGTTATTCTCTCTTTTCACTTGGAATCTTTCAATTTCTGCAACATATGTCATGGTAACATCATCAACTTCAAATCTTAAGTCATATATACTTAAAGCAGAAGCTCTACTAAGAAAGTCCAAAAGAAAAAAAATTTCCTTACCACATAAGCTGTCCCTTGTGAAAGTTTGAGTCCCTGCAGGTGAATGCATATGATCCCCACCTTTAGGACCCCACTGAACAAAAGGTTCAGCTTCATTTGTCCCATATCCGCTTGTCCATGTAACAGTAATCTGATTTTAATCTCAAAATGATATGTTACTACAATTTGATAAAACAGTAACACCTTTAGAAGTGTTGAGGGAAAAAACAGCGAACGGAACAAATGAAAAAAGAGATGATTTTACTGAAAGCAATAATACACAAGATATGGCATGGAATGCTTTCTTTCTTCATATCTATTTCTAGTGTAGTTTACTTATCCTTTATATATGATGGGTTTAAAATGGATTTTTACCTCATCCCATGACTTCCCTACTGCCAAACGAGGGTAAACTGGTGCATTTGGATTCACAAAAGCCACTTTATCAGACACTGCCACTAACTTTGGCTGAAATGCAATTTATAGAAACAATAGTGCATTTAGTTATATTATGTTGATCCGGCATAAATTATTGATGAGTTTATAGAAGGAACAATTCAATCCAATTATTGGCTGGAAAATTCACAAGTCTAAATAAATAACTATATGACAGAAATAAAATCCTACACATGCATAAATCAGAATTGGTTGGGTCCAAGGCAGCACTCAGAAGAAAGAGACATCATTTTGTATTCAGAACGATATGCCAGTTACCAAGCGTTAATTTTGAGTCTTGAGATAATAATAGCAATTGAAATCATGATATTATCATCATAAGATGGTTCTATCAAGATGCTTCAAAATAAGGATATCTATAAGGCATTTAATTTGGTGACTAGTTCAACAATTGCTCAACATAGAAATCCTCTACTTTTGGGCCTGGGGCAGGGGAGATGTGATTCAATTGATCCATATAAAAATCAAAAGGCTAAAGTATACATTTAGTCCTTTAACTTTACACAAGATTTCATTTTAGTCATTTAACTTTATAAAGTATTTTTTTAGTCCTATACCCTAATATCATTAGTTTCATCCCAATAAATTTTTACATTAAACTTTCAAATATTGAAATCAAATGTTGACATATTAAGTTTAATTTTTTTAAAATAACAATAATTAACACAAAATATAATCATCTGAAACTAACAGTGTTAGGTCAAAGGACTAAAAAATTATTTTATAAAATTCAGGAACCAAATTGAAACTTTATATAAAGTTAGAGGACTAAAAGTATACTTTAGCCAAATCAGGAAGTTTTTGGAAAAAATGGATGTGTGTAAGAAAAGTCATTACCACTACATTATGCACAAAAAATAAGACGCACTTTCTCCATGAATATATGACACTAAATTCTGATATTATTCAGAAATGTAAGTATCAATTCATTGATAGAAGAATGGAAGTAATCCAATGAGGTCCGGAGGGAGGGAAAAAACAAAGAAAAAAAAAAAGAATTTTTGAGCAACAAAGTAACCATTGAAAGGATCTGTTAACTTAGTATGCCAAGCTAAAAAGAGGTCCACTTCAAATTGACTGGCCCATAGATTATGGTATGTGACAGAAAGATTAACAATCATTGGCAAACACAAATTTAAACTGAGGATGAGCTTACATTTGACAAGCCTCCAGAAAATAGTGCAAAGGAGAAATCTGATCTCTGGTTAATCAGCTGAAGCCTCAGAAATCCTTTTCCATTTACTAAGTACTGGGGATTGGAGTAATTTGCATATTGGAACTGCAAAAGGGAGAATATATGTTTTAAGATTATCGCAGGTATTACCAACCATGAGCCTTCACCTTATAGATTAGACTTTGGCGTTGAAATTGTCCCTAACAAGGTATTAAAGGCTCAAAGCATTCATGAACAAGTGGTAGGAGGTATGGCATGTCTCTATTTTTGTCCACTCCTCAAACCCAAAAGGATTTCACATGAGGGGGTGTGTTCAACATGTTACTAAAACCAATCATGGATTTTCACTGAACAACTTAAGGCTTAGGGTTAAAATAGTTTTTTTAACAATGACAACTAATTTCATACGTTCACATGCTCATGCTTTCCTTCTTTCTACAGAAGCAGCAGCAGCAGCAGCAGCAGCAACAAATGCTCATGCTCATGCTGGATATATTGTTAACTGAAAAATCTCGTTTAACAACTTCATTAAATGTTCTCTTTGGTCTTCTTTTCCCCATTTCACCAGACTTAAGTCACCCTTCTCACTAGCACCTCCCGCTTACATCCATATTAAACGTGTTTCTGGAGAAGCAACTGAAGTGATTTAGAAAAGTCAGTAAGAGAATAGTAATACATGTCACATGTACCTTAATGGGTGCAGAACACAGCAGTGGTGGATAAACCCGGTGATTTTCTTCTGGACAAGTTGAAGAACTATAGGTTATAAAACAGTAATGACTATTGTCAGTGGAAACACAAACAAGTATTAACTGAACAAAAGAAGATGCTAAGATAATTACAAGGAATATTGAGGCTGAAGTTTAGAATTAGACAGATCCTGGTTTACCTAAAATTTGCAGGAGAAAATACACCAACCCAATCATCATTTGATGGACTAGAAGAACTATATTCCGCAGTTACCCATTCTGTAGCTTGCCCCTACAATATAATCAAGTTAAATCTGTATCAGTACTAAAAAGATCTTTGAAATGGCATGCACAAAGATAATCCAAGACAAAAATTAGGTGATCACCAAAAATATCTGCAAAATGAACAGCTCACTCCTAAAACTTACCTCTAATCCAAGAACTGTTGGAGATGCTTTGATGTAAGCAAGGTCAAGAAGGGATATTGTAGCTTTATGAACAGCAATTTTTGACAAAGGTTGATCTCCATGTGAGCATACATTATGAGGCATTGAACAAACTAGAAGCCATGACAAGAAGATATATTTGGACTCTCCCATTCCACCCACTATCTGAAAAACAAACTTGGAGTGAACTACCAACTTGAATACATTAAGGTGGATTCAGCCATTCTGGTACACAAGTAAACCAGTTTAAAGATATTAAGAGGAGTGTGTGCGTGTGCGTGCGTGCGTGCGTGCGTGTAACAGCTAAGATATATGCACTGGGTATGTCCGAAAACAAATAAGGAATCGATTCCTCAAATATTTCATACTTCAAATTTTAACAACACTCCTAGCTTAGCTGGGTCAGTTTAACTGTAACTTGGAACGCCAAAACGCTTTATAGAGTTAAGACGAGGTTTTATTTCGATTGCATCTCGCTAAACAGTCTTAAGTAATCTAAACGAAACAGAAGTTTGCCGTTGCGATATTATTTCTAACCCACAACACCTTTTGTAGTTAATATCTAGGTTCAGAGCAGTTAAAGTAAAAACCAAAAAAGATAAATAAATAAATAAATAAAACACAGATCATCTTCATACTGCAAATATAGCTCCAGCTCCAGACAATTCGGCTATACTTCAAGCAGTGACTATTACTAGTATCTTCTGCTTCCTGCAATCCCTTACCCCACCAAAAAAATTTGGAAAAAAGAAAAAGAAAAAAAAAGGATTATGATTGAACAAGCACGGAAAAACGTAAACTTGAAGACAAACAAACAGAACAGAGGAGGAGGTGAGAGACATTGAGGTTGGAAAATGATAGTTACCTATTTTGTCATTTTGTTCAGCCCCAAAACCAAAGCATGGCCCTTTTTTGTTTTTTTGGTTTTTTCTCCTGGTGATAGATGATAGGATAGTTTATAGCAATAGGGAATCTTAGGAATATAAAGATGCTTCTGCGTATGCCAAATCAAATCAATGAGTCCAGTTTTAGCACTGCATGGTACAATAAACCGACTGCAGTTTCCCGTTTTCCAGTTAGTTATAATGGAGGTGGGGAAAACGACGTCGTCCGGATCTTGGGGTTGCCCATTAAGGCCTCTGATTCGCATGGACTCTCACTTTTTTCTTGTTTCTTTTTTGGTTACAATTATAAACTCTGATTTATTTACCAAAACCTCACATGCATTTTTCTGAATGGTAAAGAATCAATCTTTCATGACAGTATTTATTTATTTCTTTTTTTAATCTTTGAATATATGGAGCAAGCTGAAACTAGTTTGAAAGCTAGTAAGACTATACATGCAAGTCTGCGACTTCTCATCTGCCAGAGTGAACCTAAAACCACTAGGTTACAGAGTTGTTGCCACAAAATTTATACTTTATGGAAAGAATAAAATGCTAATGTCATAACCTAATAAATAATAAATTAATTAACTGAAAAGTGATGATAAGGTATAATAAATATTATATATACATATTAGAGACAAACTTATCAAAGTAAATTGATGGTTCGCTGGCAAGTATTCTTGATATTTAACCTGAAGTTACAGGTTCGAATCCTCCTTACGAGGATTGGGATTGATTTTTTAACCTTTACACCATTATGTCCATGGCAGCATGTATATTTTTATTCCCTTCCCCAGTCAGCGTTCACAGAAGCATCGGGGAGAGGGGGAGAGAGAGAGAATTCTGAGACCAGAAGCTTCGTTCTTGTCTTCTCCTTCCTCTGCCTCACCGCGTCGTCGGCAATGGAGCATCAGAGTCCCGTCCGCCGTTGCCAAGGTGTTTGTGCGACCTTCCTCCTTCCTTCCTTGTTCTGCACCTCTATTTTACAGAGAGCTCCAGAAACCACCGAGAAAATGAGAGAACTTTGGCCTTCCTCCACCTACTTCTTCTATCATAAGCGTCGCCGGCGAGGGTGGTAAGAAATCCATTCGTCGCCGTTCTTTCTTGTCTGCTTCTTCGGGGTATAACTGTTTAGGATTTCAGTCATCATCCTTCATGTCTCTGTTCGACGTCCCCTGTCGGTGTATGTGTCGGAGGTTGTGTGAGGAGCTTGGTCGTTGGAGAAGCTTGTGGTGCTGCTGTTATATGTTACCGTCAGCCTCTCATTTGCCTTCCTCGTTGCAGCTATGTCGGAATCCCCTCCTCCCCTGTTCAATGTTGTGCGATCCTCTTTCTCTCCTTGCTTTTTCTGCTGCTGATTGAAGGTGAGGAGTTCGAACTCCCTTCTCTTTGTTGGTCCTGTTGGTGTGTTTAAATTTCAGAGATTGTGGTTTTCTACATGCTTTGCTGCTGGATGTTCGAACATTGACAAAGGGGTTTAGGCAAGTTGGAACTTTCAGATTTTTAGAGTTAGGTGCAGTATGGATTTAAATTTTATTTGAGTTTATTTTTAAATTTAGTTGAAAGGATGAAATTTAGGAAAATTGATTAATTTAAATATTGAAATTGAGAAATTTTGGGAAAGGACATTGAGGAAGAAGAGGCTTGATATTTGTTTGAATTTAGATGCATATGAGATAGTTGATAAAATGCTTGAGAGGAAGTTGGGATGAGGAATAGATATTTTGAAGAGAATATTTTCATTAATAATTCAAGTACTAATTTCTATTTATGTATTGATCTTTGAAATATCTATTAAATATTATTTTGACATTTGATTTTGAGATGCACCTAAGGTGCTTGGTAAGATGGGTGCCAAAAGTATATTGAAATTTTTGTGAGATCAAGAATGATGTAAATTTATATAAGGTTGGCTCAGAGAGAGAGAGAGAGAGAGAGAGAGAGAGAGAGAGAGAGAGAGAGAGAGAGAGAGAGAGAGAGAGAGAGAGAGAGAGAGAGAGAGAGAGAGAGAGAGAGAGAGAGAGAGAGAGAGAGAGAGAGAGAGAGAGAGAGCGAGAGAGAGAGAGAGAAGAATAGAAACAATGTTAAATAGAGGGATTATATAGTGAGTATAAAAGAGGTTGGAGTAATTGAGGCATAAATTATATTTAATCAAAAACTTAAGCGATCATGGTATTGTTGATATCGTAAAACATCTTATTAAACTTGAATAAAGATCATTGAATTATCTTTTATGTTGAATAGAGTGTTTAGAATAAAGAGGACTTGACTTTAAAGAGTGAATTTGCACTTGAAAACTCTACAGGTAAGTGAATAGCATCTCATTATTTTTTTTTCAATAAAATTAGTCTGTTTTTGAAATATTTTACATTTTCAAATAAATTATTTTAACAACTAAGACGATTATCATGTACTTTATTAGTTAAATCATTTTGGTTCTGGAAATTATAGAATGAAGATGAAGTTAATTAAATTATGGTATATACATGTATTTTCTTTACGAAATATATTTTTCAAAATTGATGAAGGCATCTTTGTTTATTTTTACTCCAAAAATTCTTAATTACTCAACTAATACAAGCTTGTACATTAGCTATGAAATATTATTCTGGCAAGCTTTGAGATTTGAAATAATTCATGCGAGTTTGGTATTGAGAATGCAAATTGTATTTCAAAAATGATTCTTCTTGCATGTTTGAAAAGTGATTTTTAAAGGACTTTATATACAACACTGCTTGCTAACGGTAGTCCTATTAACCCTTGGCGCGCCATGGTTCACCTAGCTAGCAGAGTGTTTATTGGAGGTGCTAGTCCCGTGTGATGGCCAACGCACGTGGAACGGAGGGATGGTTATTCATGAGTATCGTACTCATGTTTGTTTCGTGTCTTTAAGTCATGCTTGGTCAGCATTACCCTCGTGGACTGTGTGTCCAGGTTTGTTTTCGTGGCATAAGCCGCGTTTGGTTATTTACCCTCGTGGACTGTGTACCCACGTTTGTTATCTATTCTGTTAAATCCTCAAAATTCTAAAGTTTTAATCAACTTGTGTACTTAAAATTTCAATGATTTTAATTAACAAGTGTACCACTTCTATTTATGTATAATTGATTATTTTCTTAAATATAATTAAAATCACATAATTTTAGTTTACTCTCATTATTATGATTATGATTATAATTTCAAAAGCAAGTTTTTTGTATAAAATTATTCTCATTTCAATTATTCTACATCATTCTTGAATCTATTTATTTATTTATTTATCTTTCTTTAAAATTTATTTATTGGGGATGCTATTCATTGAAAAAAAAATATTTTTGGTCCCAGATTCATTAGTTGACGATAAACCTCCTGCCGATCATTGAAAGGCTGGCTACTGTATTAGGTGAATATTTATTTTAAGAATGTCTTTTCTTTTGATGTATATTTTCAATGATATGTTTTATATTGAGACAATAATTTAGGTGCTCCATATTAACTATAGATGTACTTCTGGTTTGAAAACTTATATAGATTGCCTGTTGTTGAGGAACAAAGTTCCGTATTATTAATTTATTTGCAAATAGTTATTGTAGATATTCGAGGTGTCTTATTTACAGAGAAAGTTCTATAAAAATCCCTGCATCAATTTAGTATCTTTTGTTTGTATGGAAAAAAAATGTTACTATGATTTCTAACCCTATTTTAAATAAATTAAGATGTTAAATTAGAATTTTCTTGCTTAAGGCTTAAAGGATATATGTTTGTGCATATATCCTGTGCTGATCATGTCTAATTTTTAGGGCGTGACAACTAATTTATTATTTGAAAGAGTATCATATAAATTCCTCTTAAATAAAGAAATAATAATTTAATATCATAAAATGTGGTAATAATGATGAGGTTTTAAGGCGCTTATTTGAAATTAAATTTTTGTGTAAAATTACTTTAATATCTTTCTATGATTTAAAAAGTTATAATTTTTTAAATTGTTTTAATCATTGGTGAAACCAACTTTGTGAACATTTACATTAAATTTGTAAACGATATAAAATTAGTTAAACTTTGCTAATAAAAAATTATAATTTTTTAAATTATTTTAATTATTGGTGGAACAAAACTTGCAAATATTTATAACAAACTTATGAATCATATAAAATTAATTGAACTTTGGTGATTGAAAAAATTGATTATATAAAGTTGTTATTTCCTAAATCGTTTTATTTATTGATGAAATAAAACTTGCGAATGCTTATATTAAATTTATAAATCATATAAAATTAGTTGCAAAGATGCACTAAGGTAATTTTACACAAAAATTTGATGTCAAAGAAATCCCTTAAGATTTCACTTCATTATTATATTTCAAATTGTCATTTTTTTATTTCAAAAAAATTTATCTATCATTTTCCCATATTTTTTATGATTAGTTCATTATTCTTTTATATCAATAATAATATAATACATAACATAACGTCACAACTTATTTTTGAGAATTCTTTAGTGTTTAAATAAATGGATTTGCATTTAAATTTTAAATTTAAAATCTTACATTTTAAATTTCACATTTAAAATACATATATTTAAAAAAAAATACAATCATTGATCTTTAGAATTCTATTGAGCTTGGTTTTAGTTCATGTAGTTTTTTTTTAATATTTTCATTTTTTATAGTCCATATAATTTAACATCATTAAGGATCAGAGGAACAAGTGTCACCCAATTTTATTGAAACTATAGGTACTAAAAAATTCAAAGAAAAAACTACAAAAATTAAAAGTAAAACTTGATAAAACTATAAGGGATCAATAATTATATTTTTTCTATTTAAAATTTTATATTTTGATAGTTTAAAAATTTTTAAATAAAAATAAGAGATGACTTAAAATTTGGAATGATTATGAAAAATTAAAAAATGATGAGTTTATCTCTATTTTTAAATTAATAACAGATAAAAGAAGATACAAGAGTAATAAATGTATGAATGATAAAAAAAAACAAGATGTCTAAAGTAACTAAAATTTTAAATAATAAGGTCGTAGAGAAAATTTAAAATTATAAATAAATTATAATAAAAAATAAATTTAAATTTGAATTAAATATAAATTTATAAATTTTTGTATATTTAAATGAACATTTTGATTTAAATTTGAATTTAAATTCTCATTAATTTTTAATCAACAATCCCCATTAATTTAAGCAGAACATTTTTTGCCACCTGGAAATGCGTAGTCCTTTTGATAATAGAAAAAAACAAAACATATAAAGGGGGAGAAAACTTTTGACAATTTGTACCCAAAAAAAAAAACAAGAAGAAGAAGACAATAAATACTTAAGGTGAGTTTTGAACTTATGATTGATCTAGAGTTGTTATTATTATTATTATTATTATTACCTTAGATTGATTTCTTTTTTCGGTGCTTGATTGATTCCTTTCTTTTTAAATTTGTGTCCACTTTCTTTTTACCTCATATCTAAACCATTAAACTGATTGATTCCTCTCTTTTTAAATACTTTCCTTTTACCTCATATTTCAACCATTAAAGTTAACTTTAATCGATTCAGATTGAACACTTACAAAATTATTTTTTATAAATCTTTTTTCCGTCATGCTCCCAACATTTAAAAATATAAAATATTTTTAATTAAATTAATTCCTAACAAATTATTTAATTATTTTTAAATTAATATTATCCTTTTGTGTTTGTCTTTATTTAATATAGTATTTTACTTAAAGGTAAATAAATAGTTGATTGATTTATTTATTGAAGGTGTTTTTATTAAAAAAACTTATTAATTTACGGATTGAAAAATTTAAAATACTTTATATTTTTTTAATGGATGGACTAGTTCTAAACTATTTTAAAACAAGGGAAAATGACAATTAAAGATCCTCTAAACACATTAATTTCAATTAAGAACTATAAAATTTTAAAATTCAAGTTAAGAACCATGATCCTTAATTGAAATAAAAAAATGTAGTTTTTGATATGAGATTCACTAACATCATTTGAAGATTGACTAGCTCAACTTAAAAAATTACTAACATATATATTGAAAACATGAAACCCCAATTGAGAATCGATTATTTAACAAAAAGTGCTACTTGAGAATTCACTAATTTGACTTAAAAAAATTTTTAACGTATATTGTAAAAATATGAAACCCCACTTAGGAATTGATTATTTAACAAAAAAATCTCAATTTGGACAAGTTACTTTTTGTTAAACAATTGATTTTCAAGTGGTGTTTTATTTTTTCACATTATATATTAAATTTTTTTAAGTTTGGTTAGTGAATTTTCAAGTGACATTTTTTGTTAAATAATCGATTCCTAATTGAAATTTCATATTTTCACAATATATGTTAGAAATTTTGCCAAGTTGAGTTAGTAAATTTTCAAGTGATATTTTTTGTTAAACAATCAATTCCTAAGTAGGGTTTCATATTTTTGTAATATATGTTGGCAATTTTTTCAAATTAGGTTAGTGAATTTCAAATAGCGTTAGTAAATCTCACCTCATAAATCACATTTTTTTATCCCAATTAAGGAACATGGTCCTTAATTGAAATTTTAAAATGTTATGATCTTTAATTGAGATTAATATTCTTAAAGAGTCCTTAATTGTCATTTTTCCTTAAAACAAGTTCTAAAAATTTGGATTTATTTATTTTAATTTTTTATTTTAATAATACTTTTGTAAAATATTAAGGGAAGGCATAATTTTTAGTTCTTATGATGTTACCAAGTTTTTTTTTTAGTTTCTGTAATTGTTTTTCAGTGTTTTCAATTTATATAAGGATTAAAACTACTAAAAAAAAGAAAAATATAGGAATCTAAAAAAAATAAAGGTCATATAGTCCTTTTGAATTATAAGGGCTGAAAAAAACTATAAGAACTAAAAAAAATTTGATAAAATTATAAGGATCAAAAATTGTGTTTTTCAAATATTAAATATGAATTATTTAAAATTTAATTTAATAGTTTATTTATGCAGTAGAGATTAAGTTAAAAAAAACTAAATGGAGAGAAATCGTTTGGTGGTGGCCTTCAGCTTTAGTTGGAAAGAGTTTTATAAATATAATTTTACATAAAGTTGACATGTCAGCTGGAATAGCTCAGTTGGTTAGAGCGTGTGGCTGTTAACCACAAGGTCGGAGGTTCAAGCCCTCCTTCTAGCGATTCTTTTTTGTTTCCTTTTTCCGTTTCTGCTTTCTTTGTTTAAGCTCATCAGTTATCATCCCTGTTACTGTTTTGTATCAATCAATTTCATCATACCGTTTTCAAACTAAAAGACCACCATTCGAAGCTTCCATTTTTACTTTCACTATCTTTTTACTTCACTGCTTCCCTCAATCAAATGTATTTTTTGTATCGTTATTATTACCTTATCGTCTCAGACACATCCAGTTCCCCTTCTCAGGTGTGTCTGGAAAGAAAGTCACTAGAACTCGTATAATGACAAAAATAATAGTATTAAGAGCTCAAAAGGAATGAAGAGAATAAGAAAAGAACATCGATATTAAATAAAAAATATTCGTGTTTTACAAGTACTAGTAACATTCTAACAGTGCTGGCCGGCCAGTGTTGGCCAAAAAAGACAAAGTGAAAGAGAAGAAAGAAAAACAAAACTTCGCTCCTGCTTTTTTTTCTTCCGTTTATCCTTTTCTTCTTTGTAGGACGTTTCTTCCAGTTAAGTTATAAGCAAGCACTAATGATCGTAGTGAATATATATATATGTGTGTGTGTGTGTTTGACATGTTGCTGTGGGAGTGAATGATCATTTACGATGCCCTGAGGATGCCATGAGCACTGCCACAGCAGCAATAAACATGAACAACATGCTCCCTAGCAGTATATAGGTTCTTCGTGATGATTTTCTATACTCTCCAAACAAAACAACGCCCCAAAAAGTGCTCACAAGTGGAAGTGCCTGTACCAACATCACACAGATTCACGATATGAGGATGGATACATGAGTTGTAAGACAAGCAAAAGCTTGTTTTATAAGTTGGGAGTAATCTTGAAGATGTCCTTATCAGGACCCATGCATCATGCATTGGTTTGGTATATCAATTTTTGAAGACTACGGTCTACTTAAAGAAATATCACTGAAAACATTGACATCTTAGCATAGATCTGCCTTTAACTTCCGTTTTGAATGGGAGGAAAATAGGGAGGAGAGAATCTAGGGAAGAAAGGTAGCACAAAAAGACATTTCCCCTCTTTAATACAAAGTTTTTCCTCTAGTTTCCCCCCTTTCTAACAGAAAATTAGAGAAAAACAAGGGTGGAAATGTCTTTTTCCTCTAGTTTTCTCTCCTTTCTATTTTCTTTCCATTCCAAATAAAGCCTTCGTTACTCAATGAAAAGAGAGATAGAGGCAAGGGCAGGATTTATGCCCCGTTTGCTTTCTCTGATAGAAATGAAATGGGATTCTGTTGCATAAATTTCAAAGCATGCAATCTCTATTATATCCCTATCATCACTATTTAACAATAACAAAGTATTTTTTCTTATTCAGGGTCATAAGAGGTATTTCTCATCCAAAAAAGTCAATTTTTCCATTCCATTCCATTCTTAAAACCAAACAAGGCCTCATATTGACAGAGACTTCCCATGATTCAAAGAAAAGTGGATCTGTAATGAAGAGTATAATATAATACCTGTACAGCATCTGCTGCTGCATATCCTGCAGCTTGACCTCCCATGAACTGAAGACCATTCCCAAAGCCACAAAGAAGACCAGCCAAGAATGCCCAACCTCTTCCATTCCAGTCTCCCAGATAGGCTTTCAGTGATGACTTGGGTAAGTTCAAGACAGGATAGTAAAGGAAGGTGATGTTCAGAATGATGGCGATCACGAAACAAGAAACCGAAAAGTAGAAGAAGGCAGTGTAAACACTCAAATGGGAAATCCCTTTCTTCAAAGTATGCCACTGATCATTTGTTGCCAAGTTGAAAGCTGGTGAGAACAAAGAGAAGCAAACTCCAGCAAAGAATGTTATTGCTAATCCCACCACAGTGCTCTTCCCCAGAACCTAGAGGAGAAGGGTCACAGATCAGACCAACATCTTACAAAATATATATAACCATGAATGAAACTTGATAAAGAATGAGACTTGAGACCTCAATGGTGTAACTGTATAAAGAACAAAAGATAAACTAATACTGTTTTTAACAAAACGTAGCCACCTGCCTTGATTGATCTCCTTTTCTCAAGCTCTATAAGGAAAATTGCAGTTCCTGCTTTCACTTTCTTTGCAGAACCACTTCCACTCTCTATATCATTTGATTTGACTGTATATATTGAAAAGAGTAGACAATATTAAGCATTGCGTCAGATAAATGGAATCATAAAATTAAGAGGTGTTCTAACAATGCTTCTTACCTCCAGTTGCTGCTGTCAGTGACGAAGTATTCCTGGTAGAAGAACAAAAGTTTGTGACATCAGCACAATACTACCAATATCAAATAAGAAAAGAAAACAACATAAGACACAATTTAGAATAACTGAAACAGCTGGAATTTGATGTTCCAATGATTGATATATCTTTGGCAAATGACACCGACCCTTTATTTGGATGGAGAGAAAAATAGGGGAAAGAAAAAACTAGGAAAGAAATCTCCCAAACATAGTAAAAAGAAAAAAAATTACTATTTCAGGAAATTTTCTCTCGTAGATTTCTCTCCTTCCTATTTTCTTCCCACTTTTCTCTTCATCCAAACCAAGCCTGAATGACAATTGCTACCAACCATTGAACCCATGTTAAGATGATAAATGCTGCATGTCTGCAACCAGTATTCTCAAAATCAGCTAAAGCACTGCTTTATATATTTTCCCCTGGAAAAAGCCAAAGCAAAGCATAGAAAATTTCCCCTTTTTTCTTTATATTTGCTTCTCTTGTATGTAAAGAGGTGAAGGTATAATGATGAAGAAAGTGTAGGATGAAAAGCAACTTGAAAAGGTACTTATGAATCAGTAAGGGGCAAAATCACAATCCCAATTATAACTGCAAACAAACAACACATACATAGCTCCATCTTTTTGATCACTTGACAGGCTATTGAGCTTGGCTTTATTATCAGCAGTGTTAGATGAATGAACAGCAGAGCCTAGACAAACAGCAATCAGAAAGCAGCCAACTCCAGGGAAAAGAATCTCAGCCTTATTGATTTTGTCATCCAAAAAGTAATTCAAGGTTGTTCCTGTGCAATAGGAATAAAGACAGCACAGCAAAATTTAGTGACATGACAAAGTACACAGTGTTTACTAATATTAAAAGGACAAAACTTAAAGTACAGTTTTGTCTATGTTAAAACCTTCAGAGCCCATAGAACCTTTCATTCTTAAAAAGCATGCTTGTGCATGTGAAAAGAGTTATTCATTTTACTCTATTCTTTCTATTTCTCATCATTGTTTCTAATTGTGCATGTGAAAGTGAGATACCTATAACAACTGTTATGCTTGATGTGATTACTTCTACAACTGATAAACCGACGAAAGCCCAGGCATATTGTGTGGACAGATTTCCAAGGCTGAGTACAATACCACCGCCCATTGCAAACAGAACAGATGGCCAGTTATCCTGCATCAAATCCCTTAGCAAGTTCACAAACCAGTTGTAATCAACGGTGATCAACTTCATATAAAGTTCAAGGATGAGAAAGTTTCTTTCTAGCCTAGTAGTTTTAAAGATAACAATAACAAGCCTTATCCCATAAGATGGGATTAGTTACATGGATTGACGATGTGATTGTGCTCCATCATCAACCAAACTTTTAGAAATATTGTTAACCAAGAGGTCTTGTTCAACATCAATAGACATTTAGGAGAAACTGATCTTAATAGCATCAGCATAACAACAATTGTGGCTTTATTTAGCATTATAAAGTAACTTTCTCAAACAATCTATTGTTGTACAGCCTTCAAATCAAAGGACACAAACCTGAGAAAGTTGATGTAAGAAATTCAGTTCGTTGTGCGAGTTATGGCCTATCTGACCAAATGTGAAGGCAATGATCACAGCAGCCAAGAGATTGGTGATAGAGTAATCAAGGTAGGTATGCTGAGGAAGACGACCTCTTCTTTCTAAAAGAGTCATAACAGCAGGCCATGTTCCCAAGAAGAGAAGGGCCAAGAGCATACATACTATGGCACCTCCTTTGCTCTCAACTAAATACATTGCTTCAAATTTCAACCCAGTACAGAATTTCCTCTCAGATGTCAAAGTTATCAAGTAGAGAAAAAACCAGAGAAATCCTGAAAGAAGCATGAACAAGCCTCACTTTAGCAAAATACCAAGACAATAACAAGTTTTACTAGAATAGAACTGCGCCCAATAGGATCCCAATAGCAAGTTCACAAGTACATAGAAAAATTCCAATAGATGGGAATGAATCAGCTGAAATGGAAACAAAATCATGATCCATAACAACTAGCTTTTGACAACTTGAATTAAGTCACCTCAAGCTCGCAAGCATGAGTGGAATAGAGTAAACCAGAAAAACAATGTCTTCAGAAACAGAACACCGAGATACTATACTCGTACAGGAAAACTCTACGAAGAATTTGAAAAGCGTAAAAGACCCATCTACACCAGAAATGAAAATTCGAAGCGAAAGAAACCAAAATAAAGCTGAAAACATGGGCCAATCACACAATGAACCAAATGGATCCCACATCCCAATCACAGCGAGAAAATCTCCAACTTTACCGGGAATAACCAAAAAAAGGTTTCGGAATCTTACAGATACGAACCGGGGGAGTGTTATGAGGAATGAAACAAGTTTTGAGGGAAGAAGAAAACTATGAATGAAAGTGGAGAGAGTGGGGACCAGTGCAGAAAATAACCGCAAGGAAGACAGGTCGCCATAAACTGCGTAAAAGTCAACAACACAATATGAGCACAACGGTGGGGAATCATGGGTTGGCTTTTTGGAATCTCTTAAGTGTGGATTCGATGGATGCAAGTTGGAATATCCTTTGAAGTTAAAAAAGCATAAAGGAAAATTATATGAATAAATTTCTTTATTTGCTTTCCATGATTCATTTACTCCAGACTGTCTTACAATTATGCAAATTTATTTGATGAAAATTATGTAAGATTCCCCATAAAATAATAGTACTGTATATAATAAATATTCCTTTCATTTGAAAATGTAATGTATTTTTAATTAAATTTTACCTCCTAATAAAATACTTACCTATTTTTAAACTAACCATATTTTTAATATTCACCTTTATTAAATACTTTATAATAAATATAAAGTCATTATCAATAGGGACACTTTAAATAAAAAAGGTAATGATTACACCTGAAAGGTTAAAAATAAAAATGCCTTACATTTTTTAACATTTAATTTCTTAAAAAATATCTCATATTTTTTAACAGAGGAAGTAATGATTAATAATTTCTTAAAAATGTCTAGTATCTTTTGTTATTAGCTTTCAAATGGATGAGATTTAAATATTTAGCTTTATATATTTAATATATTTGTATCTAATTAAATCAAAATAAATAAATTTTAATGTATTAATAATAAGGACTTATAAAAAATTTATAAATAATATACATGCTTTAATTTAATTAGAAACAAGCACATTGGATATACAAGGCAATTATTAATCTAAATTTTTCCCTTTATGAAATTAAAAGAAAAAAATGAAATTAGCAATTATTAATATTTAATTATATATTATATACTCTCTTCAGATTACAATATAAGACACTTTCTAAAAACTTTATTTAGTCTAAAATATAAAATATTGAGTAACTTTTATAATTTATTTTTAATTATACTCATACTTCATCTATTACTTTTTTGGGAAAAAAATGATGTGTTAAAATTTTAATTGCCATTAGTGAGGCACTTATATAAAATATTTAATGAGAGTATAATTAAAAAAATAAATTTTTTAAAAAAATTTAGGTTTCAACTAATATTTTTAAAAATCATAAATTATTTATCAATGATTTATATTTTGGTAAGGAGGTAGTGTCTATTATGTGTGTGAGTCGTATAACTTAAGTTAAATTAATTATCAATTTAAATGAAAACATAAATAGTAAATTGTAATTTTATTCTTCTCTTTTTTTTTTTGTATTCGGAGGGAAACTTAATCTTGGGAATATTATATAAATCCTTCCGAATTCAGTACAATCTAAATTAGGGAATAAGAATTTGGCATATTTCTTATTTCAAATTTCCAATATTTTAAAGTGTTTGCTTATATGGAATTATTAGTAAAGTATATTTTTTTATAAACCGTAAAAATAGATATTTTCTCAAACCTTACCTAACTCAAAAAAAAAATTATGTTGTTCATAACTTAGGAAATTTATGACTGTATTTTTTAGAGAATTACATTGAAATCTTACATAAAAAAATTAATTATTATAAAATTCATTGATAATCGAACTAAATTGCATTAACAACACAATTAATTATTAATGTAATTTAAATTAATTGTTAATGAACCTTACAATAATTAATTTTTCTTCATGAAACTTAGTTGTAACTCTCTTTTTTAATTGTTATACAAGGCAAGTTTATAAATGCTTACATTTGGTTTGCATTGGGCAAGTATATATATATATATATATATATATATATAAAGAGAGAGGAGGAAAAGTAGGAGGAAAAACTTTCAAAAATAGTAAAAAATATTATTACTTTTAAAAGTTTTTTCTTCTTATTTTTCCTCTATCCAAATCAAACCATAAAGTAAATTGAAGTCACAACCTCATTATAAAATTGAACTTCTTGTTACTAAAGCTATAAAGGGATGTGCTAAAGTTTTTTTTTTTTTATATAAGTAAGATTTATATATTTAGTTTTATATATTTAATATACTTTTATCTAATCAATTCAAGTTATATATATTTTAATGTGTTAATAATATTAATAATAAGAATTTGCTATAAAATAAATAATCTATAAAAGATTCACCTATGTTGAGTATATAATTTTTTTTCCTTTTTTATGTATACATATATACATACATACATACATATATATATATATATATATATTGATTTTTTGAGATATCTTATTCTTTATATGGCTATTTAAATAGGTCAATTCAAGTAATGTTTAGTTCAATTAAAAATAGCTCTTAATCTTTCTTATCCGAGCGCATGACTTGATGTAATAGGGAAGGAATGTAAGTCAACATTGACAAAACACAATTACTTGTGGACAAACGCTCTCCAACATGAGTATGTCACCTTTGTTGACAATTTGTTCCATGTATAAATAATATCGATGATTGGTTCAACTGAGAGACTCCCAAATGAGGACGTTTCTTTTCATGTCATTAAAAACAATAATTAAACATAGACTAAATTTTGATCTGTTTTTGTTAATTAAGTTTAGGTGAACTGATATATAAAAACTCATTGGCATACTTTGACAGGATACGCTAATTCAAATCAAAACTTAGTTGGGCCAAACTAAAATCGAGCTAGTGTTATTTGAGTTAGCCCAAAAAAATTGAATATATATATATACACACGCACACATAAGTCCACATAATCAAATTTGTTTTTGATATCTTAGACTTTTCAATTTATTGAAGCCAACCTGAATATTTGAATTGTCAATTTTTTAGCTTTTTATTTTTAAATAAATGTTAATTTTAATTTTTAAATTATTTATTTTTTTATTATTGAAAATATCAAATATAAATTTTTCTAACATTTAAAAATGTAAAAGATTCAATTTTTTTTAAAAAATTTCTAAAATGATCAATACCATCAATATAATGTATAATATCTTACAGTGCAATTAAATAGTTAGTACATAAGTGTTCTTAAAATAAAAATATATATATTTGTGTTTATACTAAATATGAGTAACTCTCTCAACAAAGTTTTGAATCTTAATTCACTTGTCATGTAGTGTTTTTTTTTTTTTTTAACTAGAGTTCTATATTCTTTTAATAAATTTTTTTATATGGAGCTAAAATTTAACATTTAAAATGTTTTGAAAGCTCCAAAAATATATATTTGTCTTGTCTTGCCCAAAAAAATATGTTTTGTCTGCTGTTGTCATTCTAACAATAGATTATTATTATTATTATTATTTAAATATTATTATATTATGGTATCTCATAATCGTTTATATTTTTATTTCCATCAAAGATGACTGGAAATATAATTTAATAATGACCCTTTTATTTCACAAAACAAATGTCTTGGATATCACGATATCAAAATAAAATAACAATGTTTATATATTACGTTGTTTTTACGTGATAACAGCATGATATTTGAAATAACTCTTCGATATCACATTATGAAAAGAGTTCTTTTTTAACAGAAAGCAAAACCAAATTTATTGCCTGGAGTATCTCCACAGTCGGCGGTTATGAAGCTAATCTCTTAAGAATTCTAAGCACCATTTAAGAGGTGGTCCTCTCCTAAGCTAATATCTCAAAAAATTTGAGCGCTATTTAAAAGGTGGTGTTCTTCCAAATAATATTTTACTACATACACATTTAAAAATCAAATCTTGAAATGATATTTAAGGGATCCAAACTGTTATCATATGTGCTATATCTATTCAGTAACAAAAATATTTTTTCATCTAATACCACAATATACAAATGAAAAGGGCACTTAAATTTTTTTTTTTGAAGCTAAATTGTATCATATTGTTTAGAGCAAAATACTATGGGCTTCCCTCTATTTTATCTTTAGGGTTAATGATTATTTTTGCTCTTAATTTTTTTTTTAAGTTTGCGGATATCCTAAACTCAATTTTAACTCATTTTTATCTTTAAATGTCTGAAAGAAGTTGCCTCGTCACATTACCGTTGACACATTTAATGATCCATTATATGGGTCCCACCATTATTTTTATAATAAGATATTATGTTAAAGGTCAATTTTGCTCCAAGTTTAGAGTATCTGCAAAAGAAAAAAATTTCAAAGCAAAAGTAACCTTTAATTTAATATTTTATCTTAAAAAAAGGTGGGACCCATCCTATTATAAACGGATGTCATGGCATGTTAAAAATGAGGTGACAAGGCAATAGATTTTAAACGTTCACGGATAGAAATAGCCCAACATCAAGTTAAATTAATCCTCAACTATTTTTATTATAAATACATTCATTCTATTTTAGAATGTGTGTGCACCTCTCTTGATATAAATAATTACAAAACACAAATATTTCCTTTATTTTTAAGATTTAATTTCCATCTCTTTAATTATTAGTTGACCATGATGGTTAAGTCACTTGTATAAAACTCAAATACCCTTCTTTAAATATAAACACTTTTTTAAAATTATTCAAACTATGCAAAAAAAACGTAAGTCATATTTTTTCCTTTTTTATTTATATTTTAAAATTTTAAGTTTTGTGAACACATTCATTTCGGAATTTTAAAAAAAATTAAATACATAAATTGACTATAATAATATTTCAAAGATGAAATTGAAAAATTTTGATAAAATAAATATTTAATATAATAAATTACTCAATATAATTTATATTTATTTTTCTTTATACTTCATTAATTTTAACACAATTTTTAATTATTTATTTAAGTATTGATGTATTTAATTATTTAAAGTTTTTTAAATTGGGGGAGATAATAGACAGCTAGATTGCAAGGAAAAGTTAATAATTTTAAAATTTTAAAATATAATTATAAATAAAAAATTAAGTATTTTAAA